AGACTCTGCAGACGTTCCCGATCGTCCCTGTATCGCACCGAATTTCCGCCCAGGGGCGTGGGGGTGGCGGGTGGGGGGATGGGGAGCTCAGTCCCAGTCTGCGGCCACCACGAGCCCCCTGCGAGGAGCCGGCACCGTGAAAGCCCCGAGGGTCTCCGTTCAGCCCCCAACGGGGGGTCGCAGCATTTCCAGCGTTCCCTGGGGACAAGCCCGGGGCTGGCCGTGCCCGAGGCCGCCAGGGGCGCCACCGACACACTCTGAGCGCCGCGTGTCACCTGGCTGGTAGCCAGGGGTTCCCGGTGAGCCGCTGGCGTCCGCAGGGGACTGCGAGCTCGCCCAGGCCGGGGCCACCACCTCGCGGGCGCTGGGTCCCCGGAGAGCGCCTGGCGCCGCCAGCTGGGCCCTTCGCGGGCCAAGGTTTCCGCATCTGCAAGAAGGGGAGGGGGCACCCAAAGCTTCCTCGGGGTCCTTTCCAGCACCAGACACCTCTGAGTCCTGACGAGCACCTCGCTCCCCGCAGGTTCAGCTCTGCAGCCCCTCCGACCTCTGTTCCAGCTCCGGGCTCTCATCTTTTATTGTAACGATGAAAATCTGTCCCTGATTCTACACCAGCCTGTGGCTCGCTGGGGCTGCAGGTGGGGGTGGCCTCTCTTCCCGCCTCTCTCACTTCTTTTCTGTCCCATCTGGCTCCCTCCTCCTCTCCCCATCCCTCTAGCTACTAGATACTTCCCAGAGATTTTCCTCTGCCCCCTGAGCTCCGTCCTTGTCCCTCCATAGCTGTGCCTGGCCATCTCCCTCTCCTGCTGCCAAGACCCCTGCACCTGACCTCCTGCAGGCTCCTGGGCGTGGTCCCCTGGCCTTCTCCTTGTCCCAAGACTGACCCTGTCCAGACTCCTCCCCACACCTCCTCACCCCCTCCCTGCCACATTTAATGGTACCACCACCTGCCTGGTGTGTGCCATGGGTCCAGGGAAGTGCAAGGTCTGGCCCCAGTGATTAGAATGGTGGAGATACTTCCACACACGCACACAGAAAAAAAGTTAGGATCCTTGATTTTGGAGAGAGAAAGGATTTCTAAGTTTGTTCTTCAGTAGGATCATGTGATTTGAAAATCAAGAGAAGGCTTCGATGTGTCGGAATGTGAGTTGGAATAGCAGTAATCCCTGTCAGTCAGTCACTGTGTGGAGTGGCTGTAAAATCACTATTAAGTCCCCAGTAAACGTATGGAAGTCAGGGACTGTTCCTATTTGACTTTTTTTTTAATTATTTTTTTTTTTCAGCCGGCCTGTACAGGGATCTGATCCTGTGAACTTGGGGTGTTAAGGCTACACTCTAACCAACTGAGCTAACCAGCCAGCCCCTCTATTTGATGAAGGAAATGAAGGTTTAGAGAATATCCAGGTCACAGCTGAAAAGCCCCTATAATCTTGGCATTCTAAAATGTTATATCCGACATTGTGAACATTTGCTCCCTTGTTTGCCCAAAAATCTAAGGGAGTAACCCACATTCTTGTAGTATGAGTGATTTTAATGACAGATTTTTATTTATGTATTTATTTTTGATGCAAGTAAAATTGAAATAGGACTGGCCCTATTAGCTCGGTTGGTTAGAGTGTGGTGATGATAACACCAAAGTCCAGGGTTTGATTCCTGTATCAGCCAGCTGCCCCTCCAAAAAATCCAATTACTGTGCTCAGAAAAGTCAAAATGTAACAAGATTTCTGTCTCAATTCTAAGAGGAGACACCACAGCTACTAGAATCCAAATGCATTTCTTTCTTTTTTTTTTTTTTTGTCTTTTATCTTTTTCCGTGTCCGGCAACGGATCGCAACCCTCAGTGTTGCCCCCGTACCGGACCGGGGACCGGCAACGGGATTGCAACCCTCGGTGCTGCTCCCGCGCTTCACTCAGCCAGTGAGCGGGAACCAGTCTGTATGTGGGATCCGAACCCTCTGACGGGAGCGCCGCTGCGCTTCCCAAGCGGCGCACTTATCCAGTGCGGCACTGGCCGGCCCTGGCGGCCCCCAAATGCATTTCAATCGTGGCCTCCTGTGTTGCTTAACCAAGACCTTGACCAAGTCTTGGCCAAGTCAAACTCTTCCCTTAGTTTTTCAATCAGGTTGCAGAACTTTCCATTTCCTTCACAATTTGCAGAGCATTGGTTAAAATAGAAAAATACAAAGTTACAAAATAAAATGTATTTTATTCATGCCTTGCAAAGCCCTTTTCTTAACTGGGTTGGGGATGCACGACCCACACTTGTCCCCAGGTCTTAGGCCCAGAGTGGCAGCCGGAGTGCAGCCCAGATCCAGTGACTTGATGAGGAAACAGTGACAAATTGGGGTTTCCGCTCTTAGGTTACAGTATCTACATAGGTAAGTGCTTAGTAAATCATTGCAGTACATGATATGAAGAATCGAGGAGACTGGGCAGGGGCTACCCAGTGGCCAAGGAGTCTCATTCCTGGGAAGCAAAAATTAGGAGGTGAGCTAATTTGTCCCAGGAAGCTAATTCAGAGTTCAGCAGAGCACACAGGGCATTTGCTCATCAGAGGTTCAGTAATTCCCGCCTCCCCTGGTGCCCCAGAACACGTGGGACACATTTGGAAGCCAAGTCCTCGGTACTTGGGACTTGGGCGCCTACGGCTCGAGCCTCCTTGGCATGAGCGCCCCGTCTGAGGCACAGCTGCACTTCTGCACCCTCATGTCGGGCAGACTGACCACCCGGGCCCTGGTCCTGCCTCCTTCCTTGACGCTGATGATCACGGGCAGCGGGGCCATCTCCGAGGCGATGCACTGCCGCGGGCCCAGAAACGGCCACCTGAGGGTCAGGGGCTCCGGGGGCTGCAGGCAGCTGCCCACACACTCATAGGCCAGGAAGCCCGGGGGCTCCAGGACCCAGTTCTGTGCCCACTCCAGCCCCTGCAGGTCAATGTACGTCTCCTGGCGACAGCAGCGGGTCCCCTCGGTCACTGGTGCCTCAGGGTCACAATTGCCCTGAGCTCTGTGGAGGCAAGGACAGGCAAGGTCAGAGGTCAGCTGGGAGGGGAAGGTCAGGAGCATCTGGGAGGGAGATTTATGATCCATCTGTCATTATGTTCCAAGAGCTGGATAGTTGTCATAGAGAATGGACAGCAAGAAATAACTAAAAAATAAATAACTGGTATCTGCTGAGGACCTAAGAGTAGCAGGAAGATTTTTATGCATGTCGTCTCCTTCATCATTCCCGCAGCTCTCTGAAAAGCTGCTCATTTCAAAAGAAGTTGAATTCCCTGCTGGTGTCTTTGTTCGGGCTCATCAGGGTGACCCACAGCGCCTACCCGTAGCGGGTGAGGTCCAGGGTGTGCAGCTCCAGCTGCGGCTCCCCGTGCCCGGCTCCCGGTGCCCCCTGCGCGGCGAAGCGGACCAGCCTGTGGGCGCCCGAGGCCCGCGGGCCCAGCTGCTCCCGCTGCACCGACACTTGCAGCAGCAGCGGCTGTCGGGGCCGGCTCAGCTGCTGCCAGAAGTTCACGGCCTCAGTCACGTCGAAGGCCTTCCAGCCGCTGTCGTGCAGGGACACCAGCCTGCGACAGAGCCCCGCGTGAGGGAGCGGGAGCGGTGGGGACAGGGACTGGAGGAGCCTCTCCCG